TGCGTGTCAAGAGCGAAACTGGCGCGCGTAAAGTTTGAAGCGAAATTTACGCGCGTGTCGCGCGTCAGAATCAAAATCCGTTGGCGGTCATTGTTGTTATGTCGACTGAGCATTCATCAAGAGAGTTACCGCTCTGTATTTACTCTGGATAGCAGAACAGCGGCGTGGGGATCATCGTCGCCGTATATTTGTGTCCACCGGACCCTTCGGAGCCGAACCGTTTGGCGAGTTTCACCATTTGCTCGCTCCAGGAGCTGCGCTGGATGACGGCCGCTGTCAGCGGTACTTCCACCTGTCACGCGCCCAGTTTGATGACCTGTTGTCCCGCATCTGAGCGAGGATCACCCTCGCCTGGCCCCTCATCCATCTAATCTAGCTGTCATTTATTTTTGTTTTTAAAAATAAATAGAGCCAGCCTTCAAAAGTTATTAACCTGTCCTGTGATTTTTTTTCTCTCTCTCACGTCCAGACACGAATTTATGCACATATGTTGATTGTCTTTACAACATAATACTATTTCTAGATATGGAATGAATAACATTCAATACAAAATGAACATGTCTCCATATAGAGATAATGTTTTAAGTGATGAAACATTTGCTTTGTTGTGCATAATCCCACCATGCATTTAGTCATATTAACAAAATAATTTATTGAAGCATCCAGACACTTCACCACGTGAGCAAGCAGCTAGGCTCCTGATTGGTTAACGCGGCGCGAATTCACGCCAAAGTTCAGATTTTTCAACTCGGGCGGCAGACGCGAATTCGCGTCAAACGCGTGAATGCACAACGCTCAATTCGCGCCATTCGCGCCAACTTGACGCGCGAATGAGGCGTATTCGCGTCTTCCGCGCCGCACTCCACGCCTCATTCGCGCCGCAGGAATTTTTCACGCACGTAAAGCGTCTTTGCATTGACTTAACATTGAAATCATTCGCGCCTGACGCCCTATTCGCGTCCGGTGTGAACGTAGCATTAGTGCGTGGAAGTTGTGATAGCGTTGTCGGCTAATGCGAAATGCTACTATTTACATTCCATGGATGTTTATTCATATATACAATTGTTTTGGACTAAAAACTTCTTCAAATTGGATTGTATGGACGCTTTACAGTGAAACCAAACCATTTTTGTTGGAATGTGGACTAACAGATGGCTAATTGGTGAGTTTCTTCCAGTTTGTGTTGGTTTGTTTTGGCTGTTGGTGGTCTGACAAAGAGACAGATTGTGCCCGCTGTGTTGATTGTATCTTAAAATGGTTTACGCCGTTCGAATCACGAGTTTCTCAGCTTTCCAAAGATATGTATTATGTTTACTTTTGTGTTTGTTTTGTTTTGTCTTTCACAAAGTTAAACCTATAAACCACCCTGTGGGCTGTATACGGCACGTCGGACCACGAAAAAAAAAATATCGGACTAATATCGGTATCGGCAAAAGCCAAAGGTGCGGCATCGGTATCGGTATCGGAAGTGAAAAAGTGGTATCGGGACATCCCTAATAATAATAATTAAAGCTGCAAGCAGCATTTATCGGTGTTCAGGTCTTTAAGGCATTTAAGCACAAAAGCATCAAAAGACATTAAGTTGTATGTAGCAGGCATGATTTATTATGATATACTACATTTCAGCTTGATATTACATAATTAACCATGTTTCAATATGATTTATCATAATTTAACATGTTAAAATATGATTTACTACAGTTTAGTTCACACACTCATTTTCAACTTCAGGATAATAGTCATTTTTTACTAAATATGGTTGTAAATGTTAAAAGATTGAATTGATAAAGTTATACTATGAATTATAGTTGAGTATTGTGAAAAAAAATAATTTAAACAGCAGTGGGCAGTACAACACCACTCATTGGCCACCTATAATCCGATCCTCACGGAACTTTGCGGAGGAACTTTGGTTGCTGTAGCGCCACCTATCCACCTATGCACCTATGCACCTCGTACTCTGATAGCTTTGAGATATACAAATCCGAGATATACATCTTGTCCCTCTTGACCCAGGGATTCGATGGTGTAAAAACATTGAAGCTAAGTCAAACGGTCTTGGAGTTATGAGCAATTTAGTACTTTTGTTTGCTGTAGCGCCACCTATGGGCCAATCGGGCTCATACTCTGATAGCTTCTCCACAATTTGAGGCCCTACCATCTGACAAAGTTTCAGAGCTCCAGCCCTTACGGTTTGGGCTGCACGATGCGTTTTAGGGGATTTTTTTTTCTTTCTAGCAAATACAATAGGTTTTCAGCACTTCGTGCCTGAACACCTAATAAATAAACGTGTGAGAGCGTGTTATAGGCCATATGTCATGTTATTTTAGTCAGATATGACGGCGCTACTGCGACACGTATCACCGCAGATGAGCAGCTGAGCGCCTATCAAGCCAGCGCGCCGCAATATCGCAAATCAAAGTGAAAGTAAGTCGTAGGCACTTAACACTACCATCTTCATTAAAAGTAAAGAAACTAAATGATCTTACCAGGTTGCCGCTCTCTCTTATTGCTGTCTTTGCTGATTTTGAAATTAGGCGATGATCAAAATGCTGCTCATATCTGTTGCTCTCGGTAGAGCTGTCACGATAACTACTTTTTGTTGTGCGATATATTGCACCAAAATTAATTGCGATAAACGATATTATTGTCATTTTCAGACCATTTTATGCCACTGATTACCTATGACAATATAATAGCATTATAATGCAAGTACACTGTTTCAAAGAACATTTATTCTCATTTTATTCAATATTTAGACATTGTGAAATGTGAAAAAAATATATCCCAAATAAATAAAACAAGTAAATAAATACACATTCTTAACAAAAAAGTTTCAGGTATCAAAAACTAGATCAAAACAAAGAAATATGTCAATTTAAACTTTTAAAGTGTCTCACACAAAGGCACAGATGCATCAACAGGACATTTCATATTTTTAAATGCTGTTTTTTCGACCGTGCATAATGGCTGCATCTCTTTGGCTAAATAGTAGTGTAGTGCCTGAACGCGTTCATATTTGAGTGAACTGAAGAATGTACTGTATTACTGCCTGATGAACGCGTTCATTCTGGTGTATGTCTGCGAATGCACGCTCTATCAGTTTAAACTCTTACCTTCGTACAATAGGGTGCCGATTTGTATAGAGCCTTCCAGGCGAAAACCCGGCTAAAACACACGTAAACAAGCCTTAAACACCCAATCTGGCAACACCAACCGCGCCGCGGCCACCGTCAACAAAGCAGCGAGTGAGGAGATGTATGATCATTTAAACGGATTTTATGAGGTCAGTGCGGATGGGAAAAAAAAATCTCATTTCTGCGCAAACTGGCCGTCGATAAAATAATTGTTGTCTGTGGTTGTATGGGCTGTGACAATAACAGCCTAATGAAAAAAGCTCACAACATGGAAAAAAGAACTATACATTAATTAGTTTTTTTGAAGTATGAGCTATGAACTGAACTAATTCATTTTAAAATGTGTGAGCTGAACTTTGAACTAGTTCGTGTAGAAAGTGAAATTTACCAACACTGAGAGTTACGCTATCCGTGAGTGTGCGCCATTTCGCGCTGTCACGTTTACTGCTATATTTGCACTGTCGGGACGGGAAAATGCATCTGCAACATAACTGTCTGGAAGAAGGCCCCTCTCCAACTCCAGCTGCTGTTGTTGTTCCCAGGTTGAAACACTGGGTGGGATGGTGTTTTAGGTGCGATTTTAAGTTTGTTGTGTTGCCTCGTCGCGTTGCGACTGTTTTAAAACACAGTCGACATACCCGCTCGTTCACGTTTATCTCTCCTCTCTCGTTCGGCTTAAAGGCAAAATGTTCCCACACCGGAGCTGAAGATTGTGGCTTTGAAATCAATTAATTCCATGTTGGACTCGTTCTTCCTAACTGTCTGGCTCGCTGTAGATGTCACGAGAACACTGTTTTGGTTCACGCCTACTCTTCACCTGCCGGTGTCCGCTCTCTCCCTGTGTGTGTGTGTATGTGGTGGACGCGTGCAGACAAGATGACAGAGGAAGCGCGATCAACTAAAATGCTCATGACATTCATTTTATTGTAAAAATGAATCTAATTATTATTCTTAATAGTAAAACAAACTATCTGTTGCAATATATCGCGGCACCAAAAATGATCGCACTGGTTTCCATATATCGTGCGATAAGTCGATATATTGACTATCGCGACAGCTCTAGCTCTCGGTGACGTGCACTTCATTAAATCAAAAAATACAGCGTAATCAAAAAATATAGCGTGGGGGAATTAAAGATCGGGTTTATATCCGTTTTGCAAAAACACATGTATGTGACCAGGTGTAAATTGAATCGTTTTGATAAATCAGATAGCTATCCGATCTGAGAAAATGCATGAAGTGGCAGGTGTAAACAGCCCACGTGGCGCTGCTCTTCTCATTCGGTGTGCGACCCCTTTTACGGATGTGTATTTCCCTCATATTAAATATAAAATGCATCTCTGATATTTTCCTAATGTCTGGATAAACAGAGGTTTCAATATATTGGTTTTAAATGGCCCTTACAGTGCAATTCGACTACATCTGCGCTAAAATATCAAAGTGAAAGTCATCATGGCTTGCGTGGTATGGTCAGCTCCCAACTCAACTGTGAGAATAGATTAACGGCGATATTTTTTTTTTATCGCCCGACAAGAGTCTCACGTTAACGCAGCACGTTAACGCCGATAACGACCCACCCCTAATATATATATATACAATTTAGCTTTATTTGTTTTCCTTTATTTTATTTTTAGCGACCTCTGGACACACAGCTTTGATGTTATATCCTACACTAGTAAATTTGTCTCTCTTGTATTTTATTCAGCCAATGCTTTGCTTAATTTGAAATTGTGACATTAGTACTCTAATGTATTATGTAATATCTTATAATCGAACATGAATTGATTCAAATAAAAAAAAAAAAATACTTTTACCTTGTGCTTGTTCTTTATTCCCACTTTTTTGGAAGTGATTGAAAATTAATTGTTCATTTCTTCTTCAGGTGCATCGGCTGTTTATACAGACAGAGTGTCAGTGTTTGTGATGGAGGGAGATTCAGTCACTCTAAACACTGGAGTTATAACAAACCAACAAGGAAAGATTAAATGGTATTTTAATAATACTCGCATCGCTCAGATCAATGGAGATCTCAGTAAGTCCTGTACAGATGTTCAGTGTAATGAAGACACTGAGAGATTCAGTGGCAGACTGAAGCTGGATCATCAGACTGGATCTCTGACCATCATGAACATCATAAACACACACTCTGGAGAATATAAACTGCAGATCATCGGCAGCAACACCATCAGTGAAACGATCTTTAGTATGACTGTGAATGGTGAGTCATTTAATAAAGGCCTGTTCACACCGGGACGAATTTCGCGCGCGTTATTCGTCGACGTTTAACGCCTCGTGACTAAACAATGGGCGCCAATGTGAGTGTTCACACCGACGCGGAAAACGCCACGCGTAAAAGCGTCATTTTAAAAAAAAACGCCTCGGGTTCGTTTTTTTGGTTTGACGCGCCGCGTCAAAACCTATCCGACCAACGAGATTGGCGGGTTTGCTCAAGCGTCTGGTACTTCTGAAGTTACAGTAAAACACAACTTGGGGGCGCTCAAACACAAAACGGTCTTGCCGAGCGAAGAAGAGATAAGATGCCTATGGGCAAGATGAATGTTGAGCTGCTGGTCTAGGAGCATAAAGAGCTATATTTATATTAGTATTTCTGTAATAATAGTATAGTATAGGGTGACCAACAGTTCTGTTTTACCGGGACATGTGTAAAACGGTCACTTTGTGTGTAGCAGACCCCTCTCGAATGATGGACACGTCTTTACTGATGTCAATGAAGTTTTTTTTTGAGTCTGTTTCACTTCTTTATGCTCTCAATAAATCACACCACCAATCACCGTAAGAGCTGAATAAAGTACAAAAACACGCATTAACACGTATTAAACTCTCTCAACGTCATATTATCAACAACATAAGTAAAATACAGACCTTGTGCCTTTTCCGAGGGGGTGCATATACCATTAAACTTCGTTAAACTTGATAAACAGTACAACTCTGCGCGAAGCGCGTGCTTTCTCTTAGCTCTTTCCACTATAGACGAATCCGGCGAAACTACCGGAAGTAAGCGGGGCGCCATTACCGAGCTGTTGCTGGGTAGCGTTGCGCCATTGCCTCCTATTGTTTTAGTTGCAACTTGCGTCCACTGGAATAAACAGCCCGCGATTTACGACTGTCACTAACGTTAAATTGATTGAGCTTTTATCACGGTATACGGTATTATCACAATATTTTAATGAAGTTATACTTTAATGCTCAAGAAAAACAGATGCATTGTGGGTCTCTAAAAAAACCTCAACTTGTATCACAATGTGTAATTGTGATTTTCGAAACATATGGTAAACTAAACCAAATTGTTTAAAGTTTAGTGACAACATGTTACAATGACTGGTAGGTTACTGTTTGTATTATTCAATTAAATTCTTGGATTTGATTTCAGTCTTAATTCAATATTGACTCATTTGGATAAATATTAGGTAGGCCCCAGTCTGTTAATGTTTCTCAAGAAAAAAAAAACTCACATAATGCTGTAAACATACAGAGAGAAATTAAATATAATATTTAGCAAAATACTCCTTGATATTTTTTTCTAGTCAACTAATGTGCTGGTCATTAAATGGCTTTCCTGAGGTAAATGTAACGTTTTGTGACACAACTGTTCTCCTGCAGTGTTACTGACCTCTTTCCATGTTTGAAAACACTGATTGATCGTTATTATGTACAAGTAAATATACCGTTCGGTAAGTTGTACTGTATCTTTAAATAAAAACGAAAGTAACATGATGATCGGTTTACTTGAACTGAGGAGCAACGATCTGTGATCAGAAGAGCTGATTTATCAACTTCAATTTATCAATAACAACTTTCATATCAAAAGTAACCTGCTCTGTCTAGTCTGTCGGTGTCCTCTTTGCTCTGTGATTTTTCTCTGTGGGAGAGCGTGTGAAAAGTGTCAAATGCGTTAAGCGCCTTTCAGACAGGACGCGGAATGCGCGACGCTGACCGCTTGGTTCAACGTTGCCCTTCAGATACAACGCGATTTGCCATTTTACAAATAAAAAGTTTAACTATTTTGAACTATAACACCGGCGTGGTCGATGCAGGTCGACGCAGCAACAAAACATCCCTGCGCGTCGCGCGCGTATTCCGCGTCCTGTCTGAAAGTCTCAAGCTTGAGTCTAAGCGGAATGTCTGAGAGTTGGCAGCCCTGCGGGAATAAATCGTCGGGAGTATTCCGCCATGCTTCTACTCCATGTGAGGACTGTTTACATTAGACTAGTGCGCACTGCATGCACACAGTGCTTATACATAATGGGGATTGTTTACATCAGAGTGCGCAGCACGCAGTAAAAAGAACGAAAAAGAGTCAGATTCCCAGATAAACAAGCAGTCAATTACAATATTCCTACTACTACATGCCTTTCTATTTCTATTTCATTTCTTTTTTTCTTTCTTTCTTTTTTTTTATTGGTTTAATAACCAATTTTTTATTGAAAATTTAAAATAATATTAGGAAGAGCTCAACAGTTTAAGGTTTAAAGTTAAACCATTCCACAAGACAGCTGCAGAGTATAGGAAAGAATACTTTCCTACACAGCTCTTAAAACGACAAGGCCTATAATCTGTGGAACTCCCCCTAGTGCAGTAGTTGTGCGTATCACTAATTTTTGAAAAGTAATCACTTAAGTACTTTGGTGCCAGATTATTTCTTATCTTATATACTAAACACAGTTTAAGTTGAGAAACCCTCTCCTCCACTCTGAGCCAACAAAGGCGGGAGAAATGATCTGGAAGAAGATGAGTTTTAGGATGCACCTTAAGGATCACTCTAATTAATTTATTTTGACAGATCTGTAACTTGTCTTTGAGGCCTTTAGTAATACCTGTGTACCAAGATGTGCAGGCATAGTCAAAATGACACTGAACAAGCACATCGGCCAAGATTTTTAAGGTTTTACCGTCTAAGAGGCTAGATATTCTTGCCAGGAATTTAGTCCTTTGGCTTACTTTTGAGATAACTTTTCGGGCCATGCACTCCCCTGATAATTTATTATCTAGTATACAGCCCAAGTAAATAACTGTTTCCTTGGCTGTAATTTCAACATTACCTAGGACCACCCTAAACCCCATAGCCTTTTTAATTTTATCTCTGGACCCAAAAAGAATTGACTCTGTTTTGCCAAGGTGGAGAGACAACTTGTTGTCTGTTAGCCAAACACTAAGGTTAAGGATTTCTAAACTAAGCAGCCTTTCCACCTCTGATTTGTCTTTATGAGAGACTAGAATAGCTGAGTCATCTGCAAATAAAAACAAATTGCAGTCTATGGCTGACGACATATCATTGACATATAATAAAAAAAAGAGAGGACCCAAAATACTCCCCTGGGGGACTCCACAAGTTAAAGGGTTAGTTCAACCAAAAATGAAAATTAAGTCATTAATTACTCACCCCCATGCTGTACCAACCCCGTAAGACCTTCGTTCATCTTCGGAACACAAATAAAGATATTTTTGATTGAATCTGAGGGCTGGATCACTCTTCCATAGACAGCCTGAGGGACTGCCTCTTGACGGCCCAGAAAGTCATTAAAAGAAAAGGTTTAAATATTCCATGTGCCTACAGTGGCTCAACTATAACTTTATCAAGCGACGAGACTACTTTTTGTGCGAAAAAAAAAAACGTAAATAACGACTTTATTCGACTTTCCATTACTTCCTTATGGGCGCATGTGCGAGAACTGAGACGAGACCGTTCTTCTTCGACTACTTTTTGTTACCGGCTGCTCACCGCTTAGGAGTTTTACCGCCCCCTACCGTATAAGATGACCTCAGGCTGTCTATGGAAAAGTGATCCAGCTCTCAGATTCAATCAAAAATATCTTTATTTGTGTTCCGAAGATGAACGAAGGTCTTACGGGGTTGGTACAGCATGGGGGTGAGTAATTAATGACTTAATTTTCATTTTTGGGTGAACTAACCCTTTAATTTAAGTGGTGAGGAAAAAGTCCCTTCCACATCAACCACCTGTTCTCTGTCCACCAGGTATGACCTCACCCACTGAAGAGATGCAGGAGAAAATCCTAGTGCTTTTAGTTTGTATAAAAGGACATCATGCTGAACCGTGTCAAAGGCCTTTTGAAGATCTATTAACACCATTCCACAATAATTCCCCTTTTCTACCTCTTTCCTAATAAAGTCTGTGAGATAAAGCAGACAGGTATCAGTGGAATGGGCTTTTCTAAAGCCTGATTGGAAGTCAAATAAAAGGTTGTGTTCTGTTAAGTAACTATCTATTTGCTCATAAATTATCCTTTCCACAATTTTTGATATTGAACACAAGATAGATACCGGGCGGAAATTTCCAGGATCGGATCTGGGCCCCTTTTTAAATAAAGGTATCACTCTTGCCACCTTAGATTTACTAGGGAAATGGTTATTTTCAATAGATAAGTTAATAAGATAGGTTATGACAGGAGTAATTATTTCAGCAGCATCCTTAAGAAATCTGGCAGGGATATTGTCAAAACCGGTGGCCTTGGAAGGATTTAGGCCTTTGAGTTTTTTGAGTACCATCTCCTCTGTCACTTTTTTAAAATGAAAAGTATTTGACTGGACTCCATTTTCTTCATAAAACTTGTGTACCCTCTGTGGGTCACTAAAAACACCTGACACAGATGGAAGCTTCTGTACCAGAGTACTTGCAATTGTTGTGAAAAAATTATTTAAAGTATCTGCCACCACTTTTTTGTCATACAATAGAGATCCATTTATATCTAGGCCTATTTTACCTTGTTTTTGCTTAGGGTTCTTTTCGCCTCATCCACCATTCGCTGAACCTTATTTCTAAGAACCTTATATTCCTTAAAAAGAGCAGGTAGTTTGGATCTTTTAAACTCACCTAATATTTTATCCCTTAAGTGAATAGTGTCCAAAATATCATCATTTATCCAAGGCTGTGATCTTTGTTTAATCCTAGTCTCTTTTGATGGAACTATCTTATCAAGAATTTCTAAGAAAATGGATTGAAAGCGATTCCATGCTAAATCAACATCACATATATTAGTAATTTCCGTCCAGTTGATACTATTTAGTATGTCTTGAAAGTTATCAACAGTATACCCTTTTAAACTTCTACTCTTAACAGATTTGTGACATTTTATCTGAGCCCTTTTAACTTTCCTGGTACAATAAGTTAAAAAAAGATTACTGAACTTAAATATACAAGCTTGATAAAAATGGTCATTTTAGAAGAAAATTTCAAATGGCATTTAGAGGCTTTTGCATCTGAACTCTTCATATATATATATATATATAGAGAGAGAGAGGGTGGTGATGGTGCAGTGGATAAGACACATGCCTTTGGTGTGAGAGACCTGGGTTCGAATCCAGACACCAATGTGTCCCTGAGCAAGACTAGTTGCTCCAGAGCGTGCGACCTCCGACATATATGGCAATTGTAAGTCGCTTTGGATAGAAGCATCAGCTGAATGTAAATATATAAATATTCACTTTATTCTTGAGTGCCTTGGCTTTATATGTTTTAAAAAACCAACAAAAAGATCAGCAACAACAAGGAAGTCATACATTACCTCAATGGGTATAAGAGTAACAAACACTGAAAATGTATTACGGTCACACAACCACACATTCTTTCTTGACTTTTATTATGTAAAACAAAATTTATCCAACTTTTCTAATTACAAAACACATTTTACACGTCTTTTTATAACATCAAATCCTCTGCACTTTAAGCTAGGCCTACTGGTGAATTAAACAGAATTTTATATGAAAATAAAATGCATCAGATGCAGAAGATACAGGAGGAGAAAGGGAGATGGGTGGGAACTAAAGAGAGAATGCACAGCTCTGAATGTTAAGGTGAGGCAGACAAGAAAAAGATACACATCTACAAAGTATTTGCAGAAATAGTTTATTTAAAAAAACACACAAAGATAACTGCATGTAAATCATAGTTAAGAATGAATATCAGTGTAAATTGAAAGTTATAAATATTTCCATTCATTTCCCAGTTTGATAATATTGAATAATGTATCTTATACATGCACAGAAGCATGTTTTCAGTTCTGTCATGTTTCATGTTTTTACTAATTTTTATAACAGTAAAAAAAATAAAATAAAAACAACACCATGTTAATTTGTGTTTCAGTTGTTCCTGGTGCAGAAACGAATAAAACGAAGACCAAGTCAGTGAAGGAGGGAGAATCTGTTACTATTGATCCTGGTGTAATAAGAAAACCAAGTGATGTGATGATGTGGTATTTTAATGACACTCTCATCGCTGAAATCACTGGAGATCAGAGTCAGATCTGTACAGATGATCAGTGTAAAGAGAGATTCAGAGACAGACTGAAGCTGGATCATCAGACTGGATCTCTGACCATCACACACATCACAAACACACACTCTGGACTCTATAAACTACAGATGATCATCATCAACAGAACCTTCAGCATCAGCAGAGTGAAGAGATTCAGTGTTTCTGTCATTGGTGCGTATAATTGTGCCATTCTGTGTATTTTCCTTTGAGGAATCTGAAAATCATTTCAATATTTTAAATAAACTCAAATGTTGGGTTGTGGACTGTTTAAAAAAAGTAATTTTTGAGTAAGTGACACTTTGGCTAATGTTATTAACATGCAAAATGCATGATATCAGCCAGTTTTCCTGTGAGTGATGCTGCTTTCAGTCTAGCTCAAAGTGCTGATGCTTTTGAACTAATTGAACTAAAATGAGTGCTGATGAACAAAAGTCACACTTATCAGTTAAAACAATGTCATACACCTGATGACAGAAGTAGAAAGGTGTAATTATTAGTGAAAGACATTGGTAAATATTGGATGTTTTAAATCACTTTATAGTAACATTGTCTGTTTCTCTGTAGATGTTCCGGGGTCAGGTCTGTCTTCAGGAGCTGTAACAGTAATAGTTGTTGCTGTTCTGCTGGTGATTGCGACTGCTGGTGTGGTTTACTATTGTCACCACAAGAGCCATGCACCGGTACCACAGAGTGTAAGTATTGCAGATATGATATTTACTGTGCACAAAAACATTTTAAATAAGTGCTGTGAATACATATAACAAACATAGCCATACACAAATACGTTACACTGCTGTTCAAAAGTTTTTGAAAAAAAGTATCTTATGCTCACCAAGACTGCATTTAAAAATACAACATCAACAAACAAAACAAAAAACAGTAATGTTAAATATTATGAGAATTTAAAATAACTCTTTTCTATTTGAATATATTTGAAAATGTAATTTATTTCTGTGATTTTGATTTTATTTTATTGAACATATATAACAGCAAATACATACAGTTACAACTCAAAACATGATTAAACAACAATAATACAATTATAAAACAGTAGTCAAAAGCCAATAAAATCAACAGACCAGGGGTATCATATAATTTTAAATAAATAAAATTCAAGAGAGAGAGAGAAAGAGAGAAATGCATTGAGTACCCCTTTTATTGTTTTCATGATAAAAAAAAGCTTAAATATTATACTTTGTGCGTGCAACGTAACAGACTTTAAATCTTTGACATTGCTGGAAGAAGAGATAGTACCTTAAAGTGGTCATATAATGGTACATGCACTTTAACAAGTTGATTGTACTGCAATGTGTGTACACAGCCATCATATAATGATAAAAATCGACTTTATCTATATATCTATCTATATCTACAGTGTATATCTATCTATATATATATACAACATACTTACTGATCTTAAAGACACTGTAGGTTATTGCTTTGTTCACAAATGATGTCGTCATGGTACTGGCATCTTTACACAGCTTTTTTTAATTAATTTTTTACAAAATTCTCTTTTATACTATCCTGAAAAGGGGATATTTATGGTTTTACTGAGTTTTGTGTGTGTGTGTGTGTGTGTGTGTCTGTGTGTTCATGTAACTGAAACATCAATCCTCCCATTTATTTTACCTTTTGTGAATTTGTATTTTCTTACAGGATGGCTTGTGAAAGCTCACCGTCTGATCAGAAAAACATTCTTCTGAGGAAGAAGACGTCCTTGAATCAGACTCTGCCGAGGCTGCCAGGAAAACAACGTTATCTAAAGAACTATATAATGTTGATACTATGATTGAAATGGACACTGAAGAGAATTAAGACATGATGAAGAGAAGCGGCCCAGGTGAAACTCTTCTCTCTATTGGTGCTGTTACTGGATCAGTCACTATATTACTACTGTTTATAACATTAACCTTGGAAGCCTGTTGTGTGAAACTAGTTGAACAAACTCTGCATTTTCAAAATACTTGATTTATTGTTTGTCTGTGAGAATGTTACAGCATAATTTCTGTGTGTGTATATAGATATTTACAGGGGTTAAAGTGAAAAAAAAAATCCAGAGGGACTTATCTTCAATGACACTATTTATTTTCAAGTATTACAGCTGTATGTTTTTATGAATGAAAGCCTTCAAAAGGCTTAAAAAAATACAAAAACATTTCATTTAAGTGAACTTAAAACAATCCTCACTTAAACCCATAATAAATGTCATTTACCTGTACGATACATAAATTCAATAAGGTTATAAAACAGTCCACACTGCATGCACCTTAAATGAAATCTAGATGAATCCTTACCAAAGCTACAAGCGTTCTTTAGTCAAGAGCAGTTAGTCATGTTAACTTTACTGACAGACAGAATTAATGGTTCCTGTCACTTTAAGATCTGCGCTTGCTGACATGATTCTCTCACTACTATTTACTTCCATTTGAGATTTTATTTCGGCTAACTCATTTAAGACTGTTCTTTTGAGGATACTCGACAAAACTGACATTTTGGCATAAATGCGCGAAAGAGAACTCGATACTGGCCCGTCTTATTGTGCGTCGTGTGTGTGTGTGTTTGTGCGCGCACGTGTGTCAGGAGGACATTCACTGACAGCGCGTTCTCTTTTGTCTTGTCGCGCATGAGTGGTTTTATCATTTGCGTGAATAAGAGCATGATCATAACCCGAGCTAAAGGATGACGGACAGAACAGATGCTGCGTTAATTGCATTGAATATTTTAACGTGAAGCTGGACAAAAATGAATCGCATGCGAAAATAATGCAGTGCCGGAATACTTTAACCCCTGTATTTACTATAATGGACTATTTTAAAGTCCCCATTGTATTGTTCAGGCAACAATAATAAAGATAAGAGAAATGACTGGTACAGGCTTCTTTTATTCCACGTGGTTGTACACACAGCATATCTCCATTACCACACCCTCTTTAGCCAATGCACTTCATCTTATACAACACATTACTGCCATCTGCTGGAATCAATCATATACAGCTGTACTCATTACATCTCTTTTCCTTTTTTTTTTTTTTTTTTTTTTTTTTTTTTTTTACTACATGTTACATGAACTTTCACATAATTACAAACACTTGACTATATAACACTCAATTCATTTTTTTTTTTACCAATTACAAGTCCATTCGAACAAGTGGTTTTCGAACTCGATTAGATCTCCGTAAGATAGGAATGTCAGTCTTTGGTACAGAGGAATCAAGTTCAGAATCAGGATCAAGTTGCTGATCAACAGAGGGCATTGAGGGCATTTCACAAGACTGCATTTCAGGGGACATCAGCTCCACAGTTGGCTCATCCAAAGGACATTTCTCTGCAGTCTTAAGCAAACTCTGTCGATTTCTCCGTAAGGTCTGCCCATCTTCTGTATGAACAAGATATGATCTCGGGTTTATCTCTTTTAGGACTGTAGCTTTCTTTCTCCATCCTGTAGGCTCCGCAACTCTAACGACATCTCGTTCAGAAAGAGGTTTTAGTTGCCGACTTCCCTTGTCATAATATTCTTTCTGCTTCTCTTTTATATGTTGCATCTCTTTCAATGACAAATCGTTGATTTCTTTTTTCAGAGATAATTTTGGAAGTGTGTCACGCAGTTTGCGATTCATCAATAACTCGGCAGGAGATAATCCACAACTGAGTGGAGAGGAACGGTAACTCAACAGAGACAGATTTTCATCCGAATTACTTGCCGCTGCTTTTTTCAAAAGTCTTTTTACAATTTGTACCCCTTTTTCTGCTTTACCATTTGCCTTTGGATAAAGAGGGCTTGAAGTAGTATGCTTAAAGCCATACTGCTCTGCAAACAGCCTGAATTCATGACTATTATACTGGGGACCATTGTCACTTTGCACACAATGAGGAATTCCATGCCTTGCAAAAATGCATTTCATACGTTGAATCATCTCGTTCGATGTTGTTTGACGGAGCTGTTCAACTTCAGGATAATTGGAATAGTAATCAATAACCACCAAATAATCCTTACCATTCAACTGGAAAAGATCAGTGCCTACTTTTTGCCACGGCTCAGTAGGAAGAGCAGCTACCATCATGGGTTCTTTAGCCAGTTTATAATGATGACTCAAACAGACCGCACACTGACTGATGAATTTCTCAATGTGCATGTTAATTCCTGGCCAAAAAACAGCTTGTCTAGCTCTTCTCTTGCATTTTTCAATGCCAAGATGCCCTTCATGGATTCGACGAAGCATGTCTTGGCGCATTGATACTGGAATGACAATTCTGTTATTTTTCATCAGCATGCCCTCAACCACACTCAATTCTGCCCTTAATGGAAAATACTGTGGACACTTGCCTTTGGGCCATCCACGATGAAGATGTGCAATAACCCTCTGCAGTTCAGAATCTTTTGCAGTTTCCTCCGCAATGAGTCTTAACATCTCATCTGAGACTGGTAGAGATGAAACCACCATACTCACATGTCTCTCAACTTCGTCCATATTGCTGATCTCTGAGGCGGCTGGTGCTCGAGACAGTGCATCAGCTACAATGATATACTTTCCAGGGGTATAAACTAAATTCAGATCATATCTTTGTAACTTCATCATCATGCGTTGAATTCTAGGTGACATGTCATTTAAGTTCTTTTGAATGATAGATATTAATGGTTTATGATCCGTCTCTACTGTAAAAGTAGGTAATCCATAAACAAATCCATGGAATTTATCACAGCCAAATACTAACCCCAAGGTCTCTTTTTCAATTTGAGAATAGCGTCTTTCAGTCTCTGTCAGAGATCGAGAAGCATAGGCCACAGGTCTCCAGGAATCCCCAATGGCCTGAAGAAGCACCGCCCCCAATCCATCCTGAGAGGCATCTGTAGAGATCTTAGTTGGACGTGTGTGATCAAAAAAAACAAGGACAGGTTCAGTGGTAAGAATCCCCTTTAACCTCTTCCATTCTTGATCATGAACTGATGACCACACAAACTCTTGATCATTTTGTAACAACTGTCTCATATGTGTGGTTCTCGCTGAAAGATTTGGCAGAAATTTTCCAAGGAAGTTTACCATTCCCAACGCACGCAGAATTCCCTTCTTGTCACTAGGTGGAGGCATATCAAGGAGGGCTTGTACTTTTGCTGGGTGTGGCTCCACACCTTTTGCCGACAGCTTGTCACCCAAGAATGTTATCTCTCTGACTCCAAATTGACACTTTTTCTGATTGAGCTTTAAATCATGTGCACGAACTCTTTCCATCACTTTTACCAGTCGTTGATTATGCTCTTGAAGGGTGGACCCCCACACCACAAGATCATCAATATATACACGAACACCCTCCAGACCTTCAATAAGGGTTTCCATGGCTCGATGAAAAATCTCGGGAGCTGACTTGATCCCAAAGGGAAGTCGAAGAAAACAATATCTTCCAAAGGGAGTATTAAAAGTACAATACTTGCTGCTCTCAGAATCCAATCGGATCTGCCAAAACCCTTGAGAAGCATCTAATTTACTAAAAAACTTAGCTCCTGACATGTCACTAATGATCTCTTCACGGGTGGGAATCTGGTAATGTTCTCTTTTTATACAATCATTGAGATCTTTAGGGTCTAAGCATACTCTCAACTCACCATTTGGCTTTTTCACACAAGTGATGGAATTCACCCAATCTGTAGGTTGTTCAATCCGCTGTATAACTCCTGATTGAGTCATGCGATCCAATTCCTGCTTCAAGAGATCTCGCAGAGGTGCAGGAACCCGCCGAGGAGCATGTATGACTGGTGTGGCATCATCTTTCAGTTGTATTTTATAGGTAAATGGCAATGTGCCTTGACCTTCAAAAACATCTGGAAATTGTTTGACAATGTCAGTTACATCATCACAGACAGTCTGTAAGACTACAGTTTCCCTGTTGACTTGATAAACTCTTTTAACCAAATGAAGGTCTTCACAAGCTTTATCTCCTAGAAGAGATTCATGGCCGTTGGGAACTACAACAAACATCAAACTTTGCATCTTTCCTTTGACTTGTAATGTTAATCGACATACTCCTTGTGTTTCAATTGATTGTCCATTATAAGCTTTAAGGGGAACTGTACGTTTTTTAATGAGAGGTTTTTCTTTCAATGCTTTCACATCTCTAATGTTAATCAAATTAGCTTTTGCACCCGTGTCTAATTTAAAAGGCACAATGGTCCCATTAACCACAAGAGGAACAATCCATTTCGAAGACGAAAACTTCACTGAATCCTCTCTGGTTACACATGTTGCAGCATCCTGATTTATATTCTCTTCGGAAACCATGTTGACATAAAACGAATCACTCAATGAGTCACTGTCATCTGCCTCCTCCACAACATGCACTTTATTTTCCCTCTTCATGTCTTTTGAAAAACACATTTTTGCAAAGTGGTTCAGGCCATTACATTTCGAACATCTTTTTCCGAAAGCCGGACACTGTCTGAACTTATGTTTGGTCCCACAACGCTTACAAGAGAAAGTTTCATTGTCGTTTTCTCTGAAATTTCTTGAATTTCCTCTTTTCCTGTCTCTGTATGATATGGCATCTACTGCTGCGCTCTGAAATGACATCGCTGACGAATTAGCCCCATCAAATTGTTTCACTTGTTGTCTTGCTACTTCACTGGACTGGCACAATTGAACAGCATAATCCAAGGTGAGCTCTGATTCTCGTAACAATCTTTCTCTCAGTTTCTTATCATAGATACCGAAGACAATCTGATCACGAATCATTGAATCTCTCAATTCATTAAAATTACAAGTCTTTGCCTTTATTTTGAGGTCTGTAAGAAAGTAATCAAAAGCCTCTCCTTCATGCTGCATTCGCGTTCTGAATACATATCGTTCATATGTCTCGTTCCTCTTTGACAAACAATGAGCATCAAATTTTTCCAATACCTTATCCAGTTTCTTCTTGTTTGCCTCTTCCTCAAATTGAAAGGTGTTATAGACCTCCACGGCATCAGCTCCAGCAATGGTAAGTAACAGAGCAATCTTTCTTTCGTCCACAGCAGCTGCTTGTCCAATAGCGACAACATACAACTCGAACTGTTGTTTGAAAGTCCTCCAATTTGCATCCACATTTCCACACAACTTCAGCGGCCCCGGTGGTTTAATGGCATCCATTGCTCTTTTCTACTAACCCCACTCCTGGTACCATGTATTGTTCAGGCAACAATAATAAAGATAAGAGAAATGACTGGTACAGGCTTCTTTTATTCCACGTGGTTGTACACACAGCATATCTCCATTACCACACCCTCTTTAGCCAATGCACTTCATCTTATACAACACATTACTGCCATCTGCTGGAATCAATCATATACAGCTGTACTCATTACATCTCTTTTCCTTTTTTTTTTTTTTTTTTTTTTTTTTTTTTTTTACTACATGTTACATGAACTTTCACATAATTACAAACACTTGACTATATAACACTCAATTCATTTTTTTTTTTACCAATTACAAGTCCATTCGAACAAGTGGTTTTCGAACTCGATTAGATCTCCGTAAGATAGGAATGTCAGTCTTTGGTACAGAGGAATCAAGTTCAGAATCAGGATCAAGTTGCTGATCAACAGAGGGCATTGAGGGCATTTCACAAGACTGCATTTCAGGGGACATCAGCTCCACAGTTGGCTCATCCAAAGGACATTTCTCTGCAGTCTTAAGCAAACTCTGTCGATTTCTCCGTAAGGTCTGCCCATCTTCTGTATGAACAAGATATGATCTCGGGTTTATCTC